TTTGTAATGACAAAGTTCTGATAATTCCACAGGACTGCTGCTGTAGATACAGATTTTTTTTACATAAATGCTAATGCAAACGTAAAAGTTTGAGAAATATTTCTAAACCTCAAGACATGGATTCAACATCAGGTCTTTTGAAAACCCAACTTGGCCATACTGTCAAACTTTGTCTCTACAAACTCTAAAGACATTTTTATTTTATTTTTTTCGGAGGATTCTTCTGGCTGGTCTTTTAACTATGATACATTAAAAATTAAATATTTGTTCTTTTCTTTACTGTTTATAGTGAATACTTGATCATCTTTATTCTGTCTTTTCGTATTGCAGAGTTATCTGCACTTGTGAACAGGTATTGATTGTTACGTCATTTGTTTGTGAGAGTAACGTCATAATCTTTTGATGCAAACAATCAATACCTGCCTCAAGAGCAGATAACTCTGCAATACGAAAAGACAGAATAGTGTAATATGAAATAGCTATCTCTTCATGTACAGTGTTAAATCGAATACTCCATAATCTCTGAAGTATAACAATGAAAACTATATAAGTCTCTATTGTTATATTAGATATTATATACATTTCTATCATATTAAATACTTTGTTAATTTCTATAATGTTACAGTTTAATACTGAATACTTTATTCATTTCTATTTTGTTAGCTTAAGTCCTCTATTTACTGTTACACTGAATACATTGTTCATTAGTACAATTATTCATCTGATTTTACATTATTACGGTATATATATGATGTTATTCAATTTTAAAGATACCTTATTTACCTCTATATTGAATATTCAATTCATCTGAACATTTTTTTCTCTCTCAGGTTGGAACATAATCACCAGGTAATACGGGTAAAATATAACAAAAGTACAAGTACTAATAGCTTTGTATCCTTTTATTCAGTGGCTGCACACCAACTAGTCCTCCTTCTGGTCCCCACAGCATAAGTCTAAGTCTTCATGCCAACCTGTTTAGTTAAGCTTCACTTTCTTGCGTGTGGACAGCTTCTGTTTTGCTTGTTACACCAAAGCTGCTAGCTTAACCCTAACTACTAGCCATGTTGTATCAAAACACATATTTCTAATGTACTACACAGCGTCCACTAATTACTGTATAAGCAGTGTCCACTAATTACTGTATTAACAGTGTCCACTAATTACTGTATTAACAATGTCCACTAATTCCTGTATTAACAGTGTCCACTAATTACTGTATAAGCAGTGTCCACTAATTACTGTATTAGCAGTGTCCACTAATTACTGTATTAACAGTGTCCACTAATTACTGTATAAGCAGTGTCCACTAATTCCTGTATTAGCAGTGTCCACTAATTACTGTATTAGCAGTGTCCACTAAATACTGTATTAGCAGTGTCCACTTATTACTGTATTAACAGTGTCTACTCATTACTGTATAAGCAGTGTCTACTCATTACTGGATAAGCAGTGTCCACTAATTACTGTATTAACAGTGTCCACTTATTACTGTATTAACAGTGTCCACTAATTACTGTATTAACAGTGTCCACTTATTACCGTATTAACAGTGTCCAGGTAATACTGGATTAGCAGTGTCCAGGTATTCAACTAATTACTGTATAAGCAGTGTCCACTAATTACTGTATTAATAGTGTCCACTAATTACTGTATTAGCAGTATCCACTAATTACTGTATAAGCAGTGTCCACTAATTACTGTATTAACAGTGTCTACTCATTACTGTATAAGCAGTGTCTACTCATTACTGGATAAGCAGTGTCCACTAATTACTGTATTAAGAGTGTCCAGGTAATACTGGATTAGCAGTGTCCAGGTATTCAACTAATTACTGTATAAGCAGTGTCCACTAATTACTGTATTAATAGTGTCCACTAATTACTGTATTAGCAGTATCCACTAATTACTGTATAAGCAGTGTCCACTAATTACTGTATTAACAGTGTCCACTAATTACTATATATGCAGTGTCCAGGTATTCCACTAATTACTGTATTAAGAGTGTCAACTAATTACTGTATAAGCAGTGTCCACTAATTACTGTATTAAGAGTGTCCAGGTAATACTGGATTAGCAGTGTCCACTTATTACTGTATTAGCAGTGTCCACTAATTACTGTATTAACAATGTCTACTTATTACTGTATTAGCAGTGTCCACTAATTACTGTGTGTTGTATTAACAGTGTCCAGGTAATACTGGATTAGCAGTGTCCACTTATTACTGTATTAGCAGTGTCCACTAATTACTGTATTAACAGTGTCTACTAATTACTGTATTAACAGTGTCTACTCATTACTGGATTAGCAGTGTCCACTAATTACTGTATTAACAGTGTCCACTAATACCTGTATTAACAGTGTCCACCAATTACTGTATTAACAGTATCCACTTATTACTGTATTAACAGTGTCCACTAATTACTGTATTAGCAGTGTCCACTAATTACTGTATTAGCAGTGTCCACTCATTACTGTATTAACAGTGTCTACTCATTACTGTATTAGCAGTGTCTACTCATTACTGTATTAACAGTGTCCACCAATAACTGTATTAACAGTATCCACTTATTACTGTATTAACAGTGTCCACTAATTACTGTATTAGCAGTGTCCACTAATTACTGTATTAGCAGTGTCCACTAATTACTGTATTAACAGTGTCTACTCATTACTGTATTAGCAGTGTCTACTCATTACTGGATAAGCAGTGTCCACTAATTACTATATTAAGAGTGTCCAGGTAATACTGGATTAGCAGTGTCCACTAATTACTGTATTAGCAGTGTCCACTTATTACTGTATTAGCAGTGTCTACTTATTACTGTATTAACAGTGTCCAGGTCTTACTGTATAAGCAGTGTCCAGGTAATACTGGATTAGCAGTGTCCACTAATTACTGTATTAACAGTGTCCACTAATTACTGTATATGCAGTGTCCAGGTATTCCACTAATTACTGTATTAACAGTGTCAACTAATTACTGTATAAGCAGTGTCCACTAATTACTGTATTAAGAGTGTCCAGGTAATACTGGATTAGCAGTGTCCACTTATTACTGTATTAGCAGTGTCTATACCTATTACTGTGTTAGCAGTGTCCAGGTAATACTGGATTAGCAGTGTCTACTTATTACTGTATTAACAGTGTCCAGGTAATACTGGATTAGCAGTGTCCAGGAAATACTGGATTAGCAGGGTCCACTTATTACTGGTTTTCAATCAACAAAGCCATTATGATATCGTGACATTATTTGCCTGCAATATATGGTGCCATTGCAACACATTTTATAGATCCTAGATGTATGATAATATCATTGACACACAAAGTATAGAATCTTCTAAGATAAACAAGGTAATACTAAATCTATGGTGTCATTTCAAGAAATTCAAATTTTGGTCATATTTATATTGGCATGGTGGCAGAGATAAATAACCTTCCCTTCCCTGTATGAAAGGTATGTTGACATACTTCGGCATACAAGAAAACAAATATTAACTGAAGTAAGCACCGAATCCGTCGCACAATTTTCAAAGAGACCCTTTAATGGAAGACATTCCGACTATCTTTGCCTCATAATATTTTCTTTAAAGGAGAAAGTCAAATCATTTCAGACTAGTTCACCCTGACAAGGAAAAGGTTTATAGCAAGCTCATCCTGACATGATCACATCTGACCAAGGGATATTGAGACTTCGAATGTCTAGAGACTGACCAGGGACACAATCCGGAAAACGTGTATACAACATACTACAGAGCTCAGCTATTTCCTTATGAATCACTCCACTGATTTTTAACGCCATATCAGAACCAATATCATCTACCACAAAATTACAAAAGCTATTTTATATACAACACTTCAATAACTTTCATCTCTGGTGCTTCAACACTGACGTATCAAGACACAGGAAATACGAAAGTTCTTTGTAGTTAAGTTTTTATAACGTCTGCTTGAACAGCAATTGATTTGTAACCAGGTTTTAACATGGTTATCTAGACATTATAGATGTTGACTAAAACCAACAGACCGGCCAATCCAGTCAGGGTTTGATGTTTTCTGTAGCATCATACAACAATCAACTTATATTTAGATACAACAAAGGAAGACGAAACCTAAACGTCCCTTTGACGGCATAAAAATGTTTTAATTGTTTTTCTTTTCTTTTATATTTGTTATGCATCAGCAGTAGCTGGTTTTCATACTAAACAGCCAACATGTAACATATAAAGACAGTACAGATACAACTTAACATATATGTATAGGATTAACACACTTTACAGATACAACTTAACATATATATATATAGGATTAACACACTTTACGAGATTCAGTGGTATATATTTGTGACATGTGGATATATCACTATCCTCAGGACAGCTTTTTGTGCTAACCATACATAGCAACCTATAAAACATACCTACAGACTTAATACAACGATAACTGCAATCTGGAATCAATTTCATCAAAAGCTGTTACTAGGCTAATTCAATCCCTGTTGCTATAGGGATTTTAAATCCAATGTCCCTTATTTTAGAATTTTACCTCATTTTCGGCTGTAATATTCTTGTAAATTTAAGTAAGAATTAATATGTATTAATCAAATAGTCTACCTCTGAAAATATTAAACATTATTTTCATTGTAGTTTCAAAGTCTACAGGGGAATAGTGGAGATATCATGTTATTGGAGAATATGGGAATATCACATGTTTAACTTGAATTTTTCGAATTAAAGTTTAGAAGAATGTATGGGAAAAATGACTATTTTTAGTACATCATCTGAAGATGATAGTCTTCATTTCTTGGACAGGTATATCTTGTTTTTAGTTTTAATCTTTAAATCATCAGTGATCAAAATCAGTTCTACTTAAATTAACAGTGATTTTAAATTTGACTTGAACGTGTCCCTTTGGTAACACAGCTAGGTGGGGGATGTACTCGCACTATACAACAGTTATATGAACTTTTATAATATCCAACAGAGGAGAGAGAAAAGCTTACCTCGGGAAGTCATCGTTTTCGTAGTTGTTGAGTTTGGGAGGAGTGCTGGGAGATGGGCTGGGTCGGTCTGGGGTGGACATTGGCACACTTGCTACACTCTCAATTTTTCTGTTCACTGGATAAGTTGATGTGGAAATATTTTAATGTCTTATAATCATGAATTTCAAGTTAAAAACAGAAGTAAAAAATATGCATTTAGGAGAGATAATGAAATACACAGAATTAATTTTCTTACTTTTCAATAACCGATCAATATGAGGAAAAACACCTCAATCAAATGTTATGTTCAGGAAAAGTTATTGTCTTTGAAAGTGACCTACTATTGCTTATGTACATCTACACTGTCTTTTGTTATCAATGCTTGTTACATACAGTTACTGTCTTTGAATGTGACTTATTATGCTTATGTACATCTACACTGTCTTTTGTTATCAATACTTGTTACATACAGTTACTGTCTTTGAATGTGACCTATTATGCGTATGTACATCTACACTGTCTTTTGTTATCAATACCTGTTACATACAGATACTGTTGTTCCACAAACATTTGAACACAAAATTCACCAATCCATGAGCATTTACAAGATTTTACTACATCTGGACATTAACACAGTAGAGACAGTGATGTAAGATAATTCAATCATTTTTCAAATCAATCTTGTGTAAAAAGTACAAACAATTTTTACTTTCAGATCTGTTTAAGTATTTTTTTCTATGTTACCAAAAAGGTGATGAAAAGTATTTCTCATTGAAGAGACAGAGTTATCTCCCATTTACCTAATACAGAAACAAGCAGTGGTCGTCAGCTAAAACTCCTGTAGACTTACAGACAAGACTCATTTGTGTGGTCTATGTAATAATAAGTGATATATATTAGTGAGAGTAAATAGCTGATCACATCTGTGAGATAAAGACTGACCATCTGATCCTTCGGCTCTCCACACAAGCCTGAAGGAGATTCCCATTTGTTTAGAGATTCTATCATTGTCAAACAGAAATTATAACTTACAACAATCCCACATTGATGAGAAATCAATACCTAAGTTTTGTGAAAATCAAGAATCATTTATATAGTCAGTGCCTAAACTCTGAAGATTCTCATTCATTTCTGTTTACTTTTATCAGTATTAACATTTATCCTTTAGGAAGTAAGATTTTCTTACAACTTCAAAAACAAGAACATTATAAGAAGGTCTGTTTATTTACCATAACAAGTTACGTCTGATATCATCTTTGAACTTAAGACTTTCATGGCAGTGATGGTCCGACCTTTGACCCCCTGACTTACCTGGTGGTGAGGGGTCCTGACGAACACTGTCTTGTGGTACATATGTAGGTTTAGCGATCGTTAATCGTACAACTTCCTGTGTATCCTTCAATGCTGCGACTGCCTCCTCGTGACTCACATTGTCTAAGTTTGCATCGTTAACCTAGTGTCAGAATAAAATACATTACTCATATGAGTCCATTTTACCATCACAAAGGGGGAGTTGTAACAGCCAGTCAGGGATTTTAGAAATCAGGAGAAAGGTTGTTTGCGAAAATTTGAACAAAGTTTTATCCTGACATATTACATTAAAGGGTGCTGAAACTATTATTTCAGACAGCTTTTTTGACAAATATTATACAGCTGCTTTTAAAGAAATATGAAAACCTGCATGCATGTAACAACAATATTATATCCTTTAGGGATTTGTTCTGTGAAATCTACAGAACAATGGAAATAGGCCTGTAGGTCATTTCAACATGAAGTTACAAATGTTCAAACATAGCACATATTGTTCAAAGAGGGGTAACTCTGAAAATTCCAACACAAGATTTTTACTGTTTAAAGGGAGATAATCCAAACAGGATTGGCCACTAGTCTCCAGATCTCCAGTCATAACAGAATCTATCTAACACCAAGCCTAAGTGTGTTCACAAGAAGAACCCTTTGAATATTTTGATTTTTCTTTTCTTTTGAAAAACTAGTTTTAGTGAGTAGTGGTAAAATATTTAAATTGAAAATGGTGTAGTGGATTTTTTTCCCCCTCAATTTTTGTCCAGTGTATATTTATGTTTTAAGACCTTGTTTAGATCATGCAAGCACCTGACAATGGAAGTAATATCAGCATGCTGTAAGCTGTTTGCTTATAAAAAAGTTTACTTCATTAAAAGCAGTTCTTGCTGTAATAACATTCAACAGAGTTAGCTAAACGACTGAACTGAGAAGGAATAGTATCCAAACAACTATTATTCCTCTAGATAAGAATATCAACTGTTCTATGTACCACAACTCAACAGGTTTAATGTTCGGTGATTGGATATGTTGTGTAGTTTCAGTCGTCATTATTATATAAATGTTTGAATATTTCAAGTAGAATAATTGAACTTTTGCGGTATCTGTTTAATCCTCATTTAAGCAATTTAAGAAGAGGATGATATGTGACCTATAAGACCCACGTAAAATACGTAAAATTTATTAGTTTTCAATGTACATACAGCAATAAGTCTGTCGCCCATGGCCAGGCGACCGTCCTGCTCAGCTGCCCCTCCCTCAATGATCTTGGTGACAAATATTCCATTGTCTCCTGGTATGTGTTGGTTGCCGATACCTCCAGCAATACTAAAACCTAAACCTGTAATGTGACAGACCACAAAGTAAGAACCATTCAATGATATCAAAGCTTTGTTTTAGCAAAATCCTGATAATATAATACATTTTTACTCCAATCAGATTTGAGGGGAATTTACATATTTTGCAATGACACAAGAACAAGTTTTCATCAAAACTTCAGTTAATATAATAATACCAAAGTTTTACTTTATACACAGACAATGTACATATTAAACGTGTCGCAACGCTTCCAGACCGACCGGTCCTTTGTCAAGTTATGACTGAGTGAGGGATTTGTAATGTTTATCTGTAAAATGATGTGCGAAATTGTATATTTCATATGTCACTCGACCTCGGACATTTGGCCTATTGATAGAGAGCGTATACACACTGTATCAAATAGTGTCAAAAAGTTAATATATTCTTTGGCCTTTACCAACACTTTATAGAGCTGCAGTCTCATAATAATTTATAGAGCTGCTGTCTCATAATAATACAAAATGACACACTGTCCGTAGTCAGTGGTGGCCTACCTTTGTTGCCCTTCACCAACTCTATCTCCAGTACATTCTCCAGGGGTGCTCGCAGTCTTTTAACATACTGGAACACAAAATATAAAACCAAATTTTACACGTCAACATAAGAAGTTATCAGCATTATATGTAAAAAATTAAATCATGTATTTTACCTGTCAACTTAAATTGTTTAGGTCAATATCAGTCTGAATGTGTCACTGTATGGTTGTATGTTGATTCATTAATCATATCAACATTATTTCTGTTTTTCAGTAGATGAAGTCTATTTAGGGCCAAACAAAGTGTAATAAAATAGACCATAGATAAAATACTGTAGATTCTACCACGTTTGCAATATAACAACACTTTCTGTTTGTAAAGTACCATGTAATATTTTCCAATAGACCAACACTCTTCTAAAAACCTTTCCCTCAAATATTAACGCGAAGATGACTTGAAATAGTCTTTGTAAATCTGTCAAATGCTGATTTCACTTGTTGATGATCGATATCGATAGATGGTGGATTTGATTGATTGAAATAAACATCTAGTACAAAGCATGACATCAGCAGTGTTAACTGTTGCGACTAAATATGCGAGATCCTTCTCATATAGGCATCATGTGACAAATGCTCACACACATAAATGAACAACCTTATTAAAATAATTTGATAATCTAGGTCATCTTACTCATAGATTTGGTTTTTATCCCACGATAGAAAATATAAATTGGGCCACAAGCGATCTTCATCAATTATATTTTCTAACATTTTCTCACCATCCTTATATACTCCACCATAATACATGTACATACTCTGATGATTTATTAAGTTGTCCTCATTAAAGATATGAAACAGAGACAACTGAAATCGCTATCATTGAAGTCTAAATCTCCCAGTCACCCCTTGAGTTGGAATTTGCTGATAAAGAAACCAATGAAGTATGGGCTTTTTCCCCCCCAAGAACTTTCAGTTGAAGGATGAGGTGGAAATTTAAATAAAACTGGCAATAATTCTTTACTTTTAATTATCAATTGATAATGATTAATTATCAGCCAAATTGAATTGAACAATTGATTTTTCCTCGTTTTGGTAACTGGACACTGACTAAGGTGAACACCTTGAGATTTTCTGGTTCACTGTTAATAAGGGCAATGATTTTTTCACCCCATAATCCTTCACTCTCAATCATTTTTGTTCATACCAGTTCATGTGATGGGGTATGAACAATGTGTCTGCTAACTGGACTGGATCAGATGTATTATGGATATCATCATATATGGACATCATATAGTTACAAATAAAACTTTCACATCTTTGGCACAGAAGTGTATCCAATGCTTTACAGTAGAAACACAGTACTGTACAGAAGTTACAGTAGAAACACAGTACTTTACAGAAGTAACAAAAACATCTTTAAATCATTCAGTTGGAATATTTTCTCAAAACGGTCACAAACAATTTTGTAACAACAGTGTGAAGGTAGTTTTCTGCTTCCAATGCAGTGTATCTTGTCCAGGATCATTCTTTAAACAACACCCTCAGACAAATCTGTCCAGCTCAAGTTTACCAAACAACATGATGTTGATGAGAGAAATGAGACAAAATGTAGGTACAAAAGGATATTGTTGGTAAAGAGATTTGAGAGGAGTCAGTTTGTGAGTTAGGGGAAACAAGATTTGAAGATGAAGAGAGTTGAGGCAAAATGATGGCATGGTTGTTAATGAAGAAAACTCAAGGGAAAACATTTAGGTTTGTTGATGAAGAGTTGATGACACCATATGGAAGATAATAAAGACAAGGTTTGTTGATGAAGAGTTGATGACACCATATGTAAGATAATAAAGACAAGGTTTGTTGATGAAGAGTTGATGACACCATATGTAAGATAATAAAGACAAGGTTTGTTGATGAAGAGTTGATGACACCATATGTAAGATAATAAAGACAAGGTTTGTTGATGAAGAGTTGATGACACCATATGTAAGATAATAAAGACAAGGTTTGTTGATGAAGAGTTGATGACACCATATGTAAGATAATAAAGACAAGGTTTGTTGATGAAGAGTTGATGACACCATATGTAAGATAATAAAGACAAGGTTTGTTGATGAAGAGTTGATGACACCATATGTAAGATAATAAAGACAAGGTTTGTTGATGAAGAGTTGATGACACCATATGGAAGATAATTAAGACAAGGTTTGTTGATGAAGAGAGTTGATGACACCGTATGGAAGATAATAAAGACAAGGTTTGTTGATGAAGAGTTGATGACACCATATGGAAGATAATTAAGACAAGGTTTGTTGATGAAGAGAGTTGATGACACCATAAAGAAGATAATAAAGACAAGGTTTGATGATGAAGAGTTGATGACACCATATGGAAGATAATTAAGACAAGGTTTGTTGATGAAGAGAGTTGATGAAACCATAAAGAAGATAATAAAGACAAGGTTTGATGATGAAGAGTTGATGACACCATATGGAAGATAATTAAGACAAGGTTTGTTGATGAAGAGAGTTGATGAAACCATAAAGAAGATAATAAAGACAAGGTTTGATGATGAAGAGAGTTGATGACACCATAAAGAAGATAACAAGAGGCCCAAGAGGGCCTGTATCGCTCACCTGAATATTTAAGCAGTCATAGCAAAATATTCTCATTAAATATTCTATTGCACTTTAAATATTTCCCTCGTAAACTTTGTTGGCTCCATCTGTTGAAACTACCAGCAAAATATTATTATAAGATTCTATGCTTTTTGATTCTTCTTCAGAAGTTGCTTGACATATTTTTCCCTGTGATCTTGGAAGTAGGTCAATGTCATTTTCCTTCTCAAATTAGTAAGCTCTATTACAAAAAGCTACCAGCCAAATCTTATGAATCCATTCCTTTTAGTTCTCAAGAACAAATCCATTAAAATGTTGTTGACCTCTGTGACCTCTAAAGTAGGTTGAGGTCATTTTCATTTTCAAACTTTGGTTAGCTCTATCCCAGGAAGTCAACAGCCAAATATTACAATTTTATGCCTTTTAATTCTTCCGAAGAAGCTGTTTGAACTGTTTGACATATTTGAACGCTGTGACCTTGAAAGTAGGTCAAGGTCATTTTCATTCGCAAACTTTGTTTGGCTCTTTCCCAGGAAGCCACCAGCCAAATATGAAGATTATATACCTTTCAGTTCTTCAGTTGAAGTCTTTTGAAGTGTCTGACATATTTGACTCCTGTGACCTTGAAAGAAGGTCAAGGTCATTTTCATTCTCAAACTTTGTCGGGCTCTATGCAAGGAGGCTATCAATCAAAAATAAAGATTCTATACCTTTCAGTTATTCAGAATTATTTGAAGCTTTTGACATATATGACCCCTGTGACCTTTAAGTAGGTCAAACTAGTTTTCATTCTAAAACTTTGTAGCGCTCTATCCTAGCAAGCCACCAGCCAAATATAAAGATTATATACCTTTAAGTTCTTCAGAAGAAGTTGTTTGAAGTGTTTGACACATTTGACCCCTGTAACCTTGAAAGTAGGTCAAGGTAATTTTCATGCTCAAACTTTGTTGAGCTCCATCCCAGGAAGCCATCAGCCAAATATGAAGATTCTATACCTTTTAATACTTCAGATGAAGTCGTTTGAAGTTTTTGACATCGTTGACCCCCGTGACCTTGAAAACAGGTCAAGGTCATTTTCATTCTCAAACTTTGTTGGACTCTATCCCAGGAAGCCTACAGCCAAATATCAAGATTCTATACCTTTCAGTTCTTCAGAAGAAGTCGTTTGAAGTTTATGACATATTTTACCCATGTGACCTTGAAAACAGGTCAAGGTCATTTTCGTTCTCAAACTTTGTAGGGCTCCTACCAACGAGGTTTTCAGTCAAATATGAAGATTCTATACCTTTCAGTTCTTCAGAAGAAGTCGTTTGAAGTTTATGACATATTTTACCCATGTGACCTTGAAAACAGGTCAAGGTCATTTTCGTTCTCAACCTTTGTAGGGCTCCTACCAACGAAGCTTTCAGCCAATGATGAAGATTCTATACCTTTTAGTTCTTCAGAAGAAGTCGTTTGAGGTTTTTGACATATTTGACCCCTGTGACCTTGAAAACAGGTCAAGGTGATTTTCATTCTTAAACTTTGTTGGGCTTCATCCCAGGAAGCCATCAGCCAAATATGAAGATTCTATACTTTTTAGTTCTTCAGAAGAAGTCGTTTGAAGTTTTTGACATATTTGACCCCTGTGACCTTGAAAACAGGTCAAGGTCATTTTC